TCGTGAACGTCTTTTCTCGCTCTGCCGATGCGTTTGTCAATTGCACTTAAACGTGCACGCGTGAATGATCGTTTAAGGATGTTTCGGCCGTACAATAGTAGCAAAAAGCTGTTAAAATTAAAAAAAAAACATTTCTTACGTTTATACTATTTGGAAAGACAAATAAATAAATCTGGATTATAAAAGAATTTAAATATTACAAAATAATATGGTTTTCAATGTCTTCATAAAAGAAAATGGTTGTGATACCCCCTGAAAGAAAAAAAACAAGTAATTTACAGAAAGATTTTGAGTTACTAAAAATATTTTGTTACAATTTTTAGTAAATAGCTTTTAAACGAGTAAGTAGATTGAAATCAAGTTTTACACGAATATTTATTAGAGTTTTGTTGATACATGTAAAAATTTGTATTTTGCTGTATTTTTATTTTGCAATATTTTTTTCTTGTCAAATTTGTTAATAAATGCTACACGCACACACACATACACAAAACGCGATTTTCCATAAGAATCAATACAAACTTTAAACTTAAATAATTTCCAAATCATTAAGAGAATTGTGCTCAGGTTTTGTGCGCAGATACTCATTGTCAGAAAAAATAGTAGAACAGCCTACACAATTTTCATGCTTTTGTCAATGTTTTGTCAATGTTATGTGTCATATGTTATATGACACATACATCTTTCTTCTTTTTCTTCTTCAGCCTGTGGAAGTCCACTCCTGGACATAGGCCTCTTCCAATTTCTTCCATGCATGTCTATTCCGATATTTCTCTTGGTTTCTTGCGATCTTCATTCCATGATGGCTTTTGTTCATTTTGTGTTTTCTCTGGCGATGTGCCCATCGCCACTTGTTCCTCATGATTCTCTTTAACCATTCATCAGTAACCTTGGTTCTCCTCCTGATTTCCTCGTTTCTCACTTTGTCTCTCAAGATGATCCTGAACATTGCACGTTCCATTGCACACTGACAAACCCGGAGACTATATGCGCTGTTTTTCGTAAGAGTTACGGTCCCGTCTGTTGCGACTGGTAATATATAGGTGTCGTATACTTTTCGCTTGAGGTTGACCGGGATTTTTGATTCTCTGAGACTGTACCCTGAGGCTTCCAAATGCCACCCATGTCAGATAGATTCTCCTTGTTGTCTCGGCTCCTGGTTGTCTTTATCCACTTTGATGGTATGTTCAAGATACAGATATTCTTCCACCACTTGGAGGGTGTGGTTTTCAATTGTGATCTGAACGTTGTTCGGGCTCATAATCTTTGTCTTTTGTGGATTCATCTTTAAAGCCACCGCTTGTGACGCTTCTTTTAGCTTGTTCAGCAGTGTTTAAGTTCGTTCACATTACTGCTCATCAGTACGATGTCATCAGCAAATCTTAGGTGGTTCAAATATTTTCCGTTGATGTTGACCCCTTTTTAATCCTACTCAAGGTTCTTGAAGACATCTTCCAGCGCTAAAGAGTTTCGGTAATATTGTATTGCCTTGACGTCTCTCTGAATAGAGATCTTTTCTTTGTGGCTGGATCCTTATCTATTTTAATTTTTAGGGTAGCATCTCCGTAGATGTTTCTTATGAGGTTTGTGTATCTGGAGTCGATTCTCGTCCTGTCCATTGCTTCCAGCACCGCCCAAATTTCTGAGTCAAATACTTTCTGGTAATCTACGAATGCGAGATGGAGTGGGACATTATACTCCGTACTTTTCTCGATGAATGTGCGTATTGTTTAGATATGGTCTACCATACTAGCCTTTCCTGAATCCGGCTTATTCCACTGGCTGATAGAAGTCGAACTTTTTGCTGAGACAGTTGGTAATGATTCTAGTGAATAGCTTGTATAAAACGGATAGGAGGCTAATGGAAATATAGTTTTCTATGTTAGTGCGGTTACCTGTTTTACAAAGTATAATGACTTCGATATCCCTCTATTCATCGGCAATTCTTCCTTCTTCCAGACATCTGTTAAATAGAATGAATAGTGCTCTTTTGAGAGTCCTTCCCCCCGACTTCAGCATCTCATTTGTGATTCGATCTTCTCCCGGAGCCTTGCAATTCTTCATTTGCTGCAATGCCTTTCTCAACTCTGGAGCTTCAATTTCCGAAAGTTCTTCGGATCCTACGTTTTGGATTACTCGGTCTTTAACGAGACGGTCCGGTTTCTTTACTGACTGGCTATATAGCCTTTGGTAGAAGCTCTGGATGATGGATATGAGCTTTTTCTGTTACCATTTCGCCTTATTCGTTTTTTATTTTGTGGATGAGCAGCTTTTCTTTTGCTCTTTTTGGATCGGAGGACTTTCATGTTCATGTTGTCTTCTATGGCTTCTTGGATTATTTGTGTGTTGTAAGCTGTCAGATCTTTTCTAATCGACTTCTTTACTCTTCTATCTAATTCTCGGTATCCCGAGTTCCTGAGTTCCTGTCCATTGTTCTGCGTTTCTTGAGGAGTCCGGTCGTTTTCGGACTGAACTTCGTATTGGATTGTACTCTTAATAGCTTGCTTTCCTGGTTGCCACTCTTATGCTGCTGGATTTTTTTTTTGCCATCGCATTAAGTTCAAGGATTCCCAGGTCTTCTATTGGCTCTAGCTTTTTATCTAATTGAATATTGTATACGTTCTTCCTTTTGCTAAACTCTTTCATCGTTGGGTAGAGCTTTTTCTCGATCTGTTTCTTCTTTTCTAGGCGTATGTTGATGTTGATTACGGATCTGTGGTCGCTTTCTGTGCTGAAACGGTTTAAGACTGATACATCAATGCAGATATGTTTGTCTGTAGTAAATACATAATCGATTTTGTTCTTGACTGCGTCATCAGGATTTCTTCACGTCCATTTTCTTTGTGGTGTTTTTTCAAAAAATGTATTCATGCAGTACATCTGCTCTTTGTTCAGGAAGTTAAGCATTCTTTGCCCTCTGTTGTTTCTTGTGCCCAGTCCAAAGTCTCTGATGTTCGGAGAGTCTGCCATATATTTCTACCCAGCTTGGCATTGAAATCTTCGGTCATGATTTTAAATTTTGCGTTTTTTTCATTCTTGGCTGTCGTCAGATCTTCGTAAAATTGTTTGATGTCTTCTTCCGTCGATGTAGAGATGAACGCGTAGACCTAATCTGTATTTTGTACCTTTTGTTTAATTTGAGCACAATGTAAATGACTTGGTCCGATATAGCTTTGCTCTTAGTGATGAGATCTTTCATCTTACTGTGTACTAGTATCGCTACTCCTCCGGTGTGATGGTTTTCCTTGAAGTTACTCTGAAACAACATATGCCCAGACTTCAAGATCTTGTTGGCTTCCTTTTAGCCTAATTTTGCTGATTCCCAGGACGTCTTACTTGATGTTTCGGAGCTCATTCTCTAGATTCTCTAGGTGTTTCTCTAGTCTCATTATATGGATATTGTAAGTTATGATGATCTTGTTTCCTTTTTCATTTTCTTTCTGGATGAATCAAAATGTTGTCTCCCCCAGAATCTATATGACAAAATGACGAATTAGTGCGAGATTCTGAGCTTCCAGCTCTACTTGCCTGGGGTAGTTTTGTTTTATGCTTTGACATTTCTATTTTAGTTATTGGAAGGTGGTTGGCTTTTAAAACACCACGCTTGCCAGACGGGTTGATGAGTATTGCAATATCACAGGCAGTTTAGTCAAGATATGATTACCACCTGTGATTGGCTGGTGCTGAGTCTTTAGAAAAGTTATCTTCAATAGCCTCGACCCAGTAATAACATAGCTGCTGTCATATATTGTAACCCTGATAGGGTTACAGGACACAGGTTATAGGACACAGGTTATAGGACACAGGTTACTCTCTCCCGGATCAGGAGAAAACTCAAAGCTCACGTAGGCAGGGATGCTCAATTACCTGAAGTACGATTATTTCTGAGAAGAGTTCCCGCTACCTTTCTTTGTCTACGAGGCTCGAGTACATATACATATTTCCTGTGTTTAATTATCTCTTACACTCTTTAATTTAATCAAAATGATCATTTCGATAATAGAAGAGATGCTTGGTACCGATAATCTGCAAATAAAGGAATTTAACCAGAATCTTGATTTTGTTTACAATTCTTTCTTTTTATTATAATAAAAATAATTAATATTTAATGTTTCAATAACGGTTTTATTTGTTATTGTCGTAAAGATAACTCTCGCTTATCAAAATGCTTTCGGATGCATTATGTTCAATTCAATGCATTTATCATATGTATCGCGTATCATTTGTAAATTATTACATATGCTTGTTTTAACAGCTGTATTATAACATTGTAAATGTAGTGATGTTTTTATTCAATGAAATAATAAATTTTATCTCAATATGATTAATGAAAGATAAATAGGTAGATACATAGATAAAAAGAAGAAAAAACAATATTTTATTTAAAAAAGCAATATCACATATATATATAATTTTATAGGGTAAATTATATTTTAACTTCAATATTTAACTTTCAGCTTTCAATTTTATATAATGTAAAACATGCACTGTACTATTTTAAATCTAAATTAAAATTTCACGAAATATGAATTGTAACTTTACTGATTGCAGACAATATCTTTAATTTTCAACTGATAGAGAGTTTTTATCTGGTAAAATAGCAATCTATCACAATACAATCTATGTCAATCAAGATGAAAATTATCTAATAAATAGGAAAAGAGAGAATTTCATAATTAATTTAATATATATAAACAAAAGAGAGTGAGAATACAGAAATATATATTCTATTAAATTGCAATAATTACTTATTAAATAATATTGTCAAAATAAGTTCGTTTTATTTTTATACTTACATATATGTATGATATACTTAAACAAAATTTTGTGTCTAATTGTTTGTTTAATATTACTATCAAAATACATTTTTATAACATTTCTTAATATTTTAATAATAAATTTTTGAAAATTTATAACAAAACCCAGTGATTGTTGAGATAAAAGGATTCTTTGAATTTTAAAAACCTATAGAAAAATATCGTATAATTTCATTCATATATGCGTGACAAAAAAATCATTATTTTTACGAGTCTACAAGACAATTTTGCAACTTTGAGATGTTTTTCTCGTGGCCTTTCTCAGTTTCTCAGATGGTTTGCTGGATATACTCGTATATCGCACAAGAGAAATGTTATTCTACAAAATGTTTTGACAAATGATGGTAACAATAAATATTTTGACAATAATACATGATATCTTTATAAGGTAGCGTTCGCTAATGTTCTACAGCAATTTGAAAAAGTTGTTCTCCAATATAGAGAACAGCAAGCATCCGAAACGATATGAAGATAATTACTATCTTCGCCCTTTTTTCAGCCCTTTTAGGCTGCGTTTCTTGTCTTCCCGGCGGGCTCGGTGGTTTATTGGTAAGTAAACATTTGTTAAATAAAGCTATTGCTCTTTTAAAATATTAGAATACTTACAAGACAAATTTGTACTTATTCTCTCAAGGGCGCCAATATTCTCACCTCTGGTAACGCTAATGGCGATTTGATAGTAAGTAAACATTTGTTAAACAAAATTATTGCTCTTTTAAAATATTAGAATACTTGTAAGATAAATTTGTACTTATTCTTTCAAGGACGCCAATGTCCTCAATAGTGGCGGCGGCGGCGGCAGCGGCGGCGGCGGTGGCGGTGGCCTATTCGGTGGTTTATTGGTAAGTAAACATTTGTTAAATAAAGCTATTGCTCTTTTAAAATATTGGAATACTTACAAGATAAATTTGTACTTATTCTCTCAAGGGCGCCAATATTCTCACCCCTACTAACGCTAATGGCGATTTGATAGTAAGTAAACATTTGTTAAACAAAATTATTGTTCTTTTAAAATATTAGAATACTTGGAAGATAAATTTGTACTTATTCTTTCAAGGATGCCAATATCCTCAATGGCCTCGGTGGCGGCGGTGGCGGCGGCGGCGGTGGCGGAACCGGTGGCGGCAATGGCGGCGGTGGCGGAACCGGTGGCAGCAATGGCGGCGGTGGCGGCAACGGCGGCGATGGCGGCGATGGCGGCGATGGCGGAAACGGTGGCGGCGGGGGTGGCGGCTGGGGTTGCTGATATACTAGTTAAATAATTCAATTTCAATAAAGCAATTTGCAGATACAAAAGATATGTAGCGCAGTAAATGAAGAAAGAACTATATAATTCTCGTTAAAATAAAATATAGTGTGCTGCAGATTACTATTGTAAATTTCAATGTACATCTTAATTTCAAAGTACACCTTAATATATCGTATGCACGGCATTAATCTTTTGCAATGCTTATTTATTTGCGTGATCGTTATTTCATTGCGTTCCATTCCGTGATAAAAAACGTTACGACTTTCCTTTTTTTCCATATTCTTTATACAGATTATTACGTAGAGAAACGTCCTAAATGTGAGAAGCACCTATAAAAGAACGGGGAAACGGGACGTGATAAGACAACGAAAAGAATTTCAAAAGAATAGTATGATATGATATATTCAACTTTTACTAATATTCAATAATAATAATAATAATAATAATAATTATATATATGTATATTTATATTTTTATAATTACATAGGTAATGCCACCGCAAATGTACAATATTCGACAGATTGGATATCGCACGATCCTCGAAAATATTATCAGCACGTATCTATATGCGCAGATATATGCGTCTTTCTATCTATGTACTTATATACATACATACATACATTCATATAAATGTATATACGTTTATGTATGTGTATGTATATTACGCATGTGTACAATACAGTGTGTGACATGTCTAGTCCATCCATACGTTCGCATCATGCATAAATCGTTTCATCGCATCTCAACATTATTATAGTATATTCATTATATCGTACATATTTGCGCGTATTTCCACTCGTGTGCCGATTGCATCCATCGACTCTACAGCTTATATGGATGGACCAAAGCTCGAAATGTACAATTGTAAGCTCGCCTAGATCTGAAAATGTCGTAGATCGACGTTTATAATTGGAAGGACACTTGCAAAACATCTTTGCCACAGAGAGTTGTATGCGTGTATTGCAATCGTTTGTCGTTGCGTCGCACCGCGATTGCGTTGTGCATAACATTTCGAAATACCGTGATTTTTTTCTGATATTGTTAAACGAAAAAATGAATCAGAGAGAAAACAGTTTGCAAATTGTGTATATCGAAGAGAAAGTAATTAGCAAGAAAATGCATTCACAGTTGGAAAATTTGGCTTAAATTTAATATATATTGCACGTCCCAAACGGTCCACATAAATTTTTGTGTTAATTTAACATATATGAATATGTTAAATGTGAGACACATTAATACTATGTTAATATTTCAACACAAAATGAATGCAAACTTTATATTAATTTGAAATAAATTTTGTGTAAAATCAACATATTTTTAATGATAAAATAAACTTAGAAAAAATATTATTGATGGTTTATAGTTACTCTCACCTCTCTATTGTAAAATAAAATCAACGTAATACCATTAATAACACGAAACATATCTATTCTGTAAAATTAAAAATATGTGCACCTTGTGTTATTTTTACACTTTTTTCAATTGTTTTAATTTAACATTTGAGTTCAATTAAGACAACAACAATATGTTAAATTAATACATAAATGTGTTAAATATTTAACACAAAAATTTTAACTCGCATGTTTTTTAACAAGAAAACAAATTTTCCAACTGTGCTGCACTCGAAACCTTGTTAAAGTAGTACAATAGTTCGTAAGCTTCAGTAATAATATTAACAAGATATACATTTTCCTTATTAAGTCTTTTTATTATTTAGGACGAAAATTTTGACTTGACATGTGTATTTTTTTAAGATTAGATAAAAATGTATCTTGACATTTCGGAATTTTTGCTAAAATCCTTTTATTATTTGTTTTTGTTAAACTATCTTTTAACCAATGCCCAAATAAATTTTATCAAAGAATACCAAAGTTTTAATTTGCGGATATCAAAAGGCATAAAAAGGATATTGGGTCAAAATCAACCCATCTTTCCGCGACATTTATATTATTAAATTATTACCGCCGGATAAGGATTAAGATCATTGGCGGTTGATATGACATTCTCCGCACAATTTTTTCATACATCTTCGACAGTACTATTGCAAAAGTTGGTATTAAATATATCAAATATATTAATGTAGGAATGTTAAAATAGAGAAAACACTTACACTATATATATATATATATACATATCTTCTTTCACTCTTGATATTCGATATAATACATCATAATATACATCTCGCAACAGCACTAATTTAAAAAAATACACGTTTTAATTAGTTAAAGAATATTTTATATTTTGCATAACACGAAATACGATTGCAAGTTCGACTGCCAACTTCTCGTTACAAATAATGATATTTTCTACATCGTGGAACGCATGTTTTTATTCGCGCGATTTAACAGAGACAGGAACAGACGCGAGCGAATTCAGCGATCAACATGCGTTTACGATCGGCAATCTTAAAAAAATACCTGGCATTAAAGAAAGCAAAATACTCACTGCAACAACATTTTCATTTATTTGTATTGCAATTGAACGGCGTTATTTCTGGAGAATACAGTCTCTCGTTATTATCGGCGATTGTGATAGCAATAATAGTAATTGTAAATTTGTATTAATTAGTGCATTAAATCGTATATACAAAGAGAATGACATATAGATTGTAAAAAGTAAAAACAATGGGGTTGATATTGTTTGCATTTTTCACTGTATATTTAGTGTCGAGCACGTTGTTTCATTATTTTATATCTTATATATCTGACGTAAATAGAATTTCAGGAGCAAAATTGATGCAATGTGTATGGTGATAATTTCTTATATAGCTTTACTTATTTCACTCCTCCGACATTAAATGCGATAATTTTACGTAGACGTATTTTGGTTCGCGTGCTTATTTACAAAATTCTTCCGCCAAGCCGGACAAACAAAAATGATGATATTATCATCGATTACCCTGCGATGATATTATAGATTAATATTAATAATTAATATTTAATAATTAATAATTATAGATTAACTTATTCTAATTGAATTACACAAATCATTATCTTTGTCGTAATTTATAGCTGGATAATTAAACTGACAGTAGGAAGAGAAGTTACAGTAAGGCGAACGATCTCGTATAAATCTGCCTTCTTGAGATTTTCCAAGATCGGAAAAACGTGATTGAAATTATTACTTTATCATCGAGATACAGATAGAATATAAACAACTACGGTGATTGGGATTGAATCACGATAGTGTCCCGTTTCTTATCCTGAAGATCACATCAAAATAATAGATATATCCTTTGGTTTCCCTCAAATTCGTTCAATTGCTTTCATATATATAAATGTGATAGCTCTAACAAAAGTTTATATGATAAAGGAAAAAAATATTGAGCGATCTTTGAATCGCAAGTGTAAGGAATGTGATAAAAATTGTAAGATTTCTTTCAACACATCGCATTACATAAGTGAGATATAGTAAGAGAACTTTCATACATATATGGCATACATGTACATATAAATGATCGCTAAATAGTTTTAATCTGTAGAAACTTACAGCGTAAGCTCGATTTTTCATTGTTTGCAAAAATGTAAAAAATCTTTGTCTCTGTTATTTTAAACAGATGTGTCTGAAGATATAAATAGGATACACATATATCCCGAGAAACGTGTATCTAAAATTCTGAAGTTAAATCCTTTCATAAATAATTCGATTTTATTTTATATAAAATCAATCTTAATATTATCGAAAACTGTTAACCGCGATCTTTCTTTCCATGATCTTTAGTTTTGGAGTTTCTATCTCTGATCCAATTACATAATTGTTACTCTTTCGTTTGTAAAGGGAAAGATTATCGTTATTAATCGATATTTATGATAAGGAAAAGTCGACTCCAAATTGGTCGAAGAATTCATGGATAAGAGATGGCTCGCCTGTATACTAGAGGGTACTTTATATTTTCGTTTTTCATTCATTTATGTGTACAGATTGTAAAAATTGATTGTTTTGCATGGAGAGTAGTTGTTGCTTTCGTCTCGCTTGTACTCCGCGAGTTTTCTATATAAGACATATCTCACGGACTACTATTGTTCTAATTAAGAAGCCTGCTCTTTAGATCCAAATTAATTCTTGATTTTTAGATTCCCAGCGAAAAGAAGAAAGTTTCGAGATTCGATTAATACGTGCAATTTCGTTTAACTCTTTTATACAACTATTTACATATACGACTATAATATCTATACACATACACTGTTAATAAAATATATATTTAATAATATTTCATAAATATATTTAGTGTTTAATTATTTAAATTAATTACTACTTCAGTAACCAATAAAAATCAATCTTAAATTTTATAAAAGAACTATATACGAGTATGTGAACACATACAGAGAGAGAGAGAGAGGGGGGGAGTGGGATTTTTTAGAGAGAGAGATTATTAAATTTTACTTTTATTGAAAATCTTCTATTGCAAATTTTATATATGTCACTGTAATGAGAAACTAATTCTTTTAATTCGCTGTATCAAAATAATAACGATTTTGCTGCGACAGTAAAGTGCATTTGTTACACTGAAAAAAAATGTACTAAACTCAAAAAAAATTTTTTTTATTTGAAATATTATTTATTTAAATACTTGCAAAGGAATTATTTA